AAGTAAAGTCATTGAGAAGTAAGACCCAATCTAGGTCAGTCACCGGGACCAGAGGTTTAGTCTTCTTAGCTGCCTGGCATATTCCAGTAGAGAGAAGTTCCCTGAGGATGGGCTCTAGCACAAGTCTGAAAGCTCAGAAGACAAAAATCTCTGGTCCTGGTGACTGACCCAGATTGGATCTTGTAAGGTTATCCTGGGACATGTACATTTGCCTTCATTCACTGGAAAATCATCAGGGAAGATTGCAAATTGTGGTCACGTGATATTCTTTTTTAAAGACCATAGTAATTTGCTTAATGACTGGGGCAAAAAAGGCTGTAAAATCAGGTGAGGTCACCTGATGCCTCACTTTATGACCATACTGCTTAATGATGATTTTTCCAGTCCCAATTATGGTGGTAAATGATGTACTTCACTATCTATATTTTTGATGCACTACAAAATCATTATTACTACTAACATACTAATGTACTATCTTCATTATGCAGATGTTTCATCACAGATTCACTGACATATTTTTTTCTCCTATCCAAAATGGAGAAACTCATTTACTAAGTTGTGAAACTTATTACAACTAAGCATAAGTCAGTTCCTTGCTTTAGTTTTCTAATTAATACAACTTGAGATGTAGTAATCAAGCTGAGAATATAAACCCTGGGAGCAAGAAATTATTTTGCTGTCTTGTAGTCACCAAAGAAGAGGAAACACTTTTGAAATAAATCTTCTCCAAGAATATGAAGGGATGGCTAATTAATTGATTGCCTCTTTATGGTATATCAGTACTTTTATACTTTGAAAGTGAAAAAAGTCCCAAATCACCTTGAACATTATGTTTCAATAAATAATAAGCTGAACCTTTAGCACTTCTGAATATAAATTAGACTTTCTTTCCTGGGTGGAACCTATGGGTGGAAGTAAGGGTTTTGGTAAAAATAAATAACATAATCCTAGCATTCTAATAAAGAGACATCATGTTATCTCATGACAAAATATATCTGTAATTAAGTGAAGTCATCTCCCTATAGAACATTAAATCTAGCTTCACAAGTTTTTAATATTAATATACAGATACTAATTGCAGTTCATTAATACACTGAAGAATAACATGTATTAATATGAAGGGAGGTTTAGTTTTTTACATAATATGGATAATTTCAGAATCTCTTCTAATCTATGCTTCTTGTACTACCCATTTTATAATGCCATTCCTTGGGCATTGTAAAAGTAAGATGTCTTAGCAAAGAAAAAAGTTAATTTTTTTTTAAAAAAAGTTTTTAGCTTAAAATAGAAGTAACTTTCAGAGCACCAACTTCTTTCCTTGGCTGCCATGGGGTCAACTGATGTTATATTTTCCACCAGAATTCCAGGAAACACATGCAGTACAAGGAGACTGAAAGGACGCAACATTTTTGGTTTTAAAATGAATTCATAATTACCATAATATAATATATTGCAGAACATGCAGATTTTCCTCACGCACATATTTTTTCTGAAATTCCCCATCTCCACAGAAGATTGAGAATAATATCTTTATGAAAGTCAAGAATTTCAATTAAATTTCAAATAGTTTGAAAACACATTAACAGGGGCTTACTAGTGCTCTGATCAGCTTCCTGAATTTTTTGACAACTTGTTTTTTTTTTAAGGTGGAATGCCTACATTCAGTTAATTGGTTACACATACGTAGCACAATTCTGGTCCATACATGGATATGAACTTTAGCCAAAATCTTCAATCACCATATAACAGTGATGGCGAACCTATGGCACATGTGCCAGAGATGGCACTCAGAGCCCTCTCTGTGGGCACACCTGCCACCACCGCCAGCTCATGCAGGTCCATTAGGCCACCACTGGTGCCCAGAGCGGTGGCCCCACCCAGCACAAAGGAGGCGAAGCAGCTGGCTAGCAAGCTTGAGTAGAGGTGGTAGAGCACGCCCCCATGTGCTCGCTGACCTCTGTGTGCGTATAAGGCAGCAGCTGCCCCTGCCTCATCTTGCCCCGCAGCAATGGCACCCCTGCCTCACTCCACAGAACGAGCCTACTGATCACTGCCCTACCCATCAAAGACCTCCTGGATCTCCCCCAATCCTGCCCAGCCCCCACAGGAGTCCCCCCACGAGCAACATCAAGGCGGCCATGCCCATCCCAGCCATTCCCACTCAGTCTGCCATGACTACCGCAGCCATGCCCACCCAGTGGGCCATGCCCCCCCCCAAGGGCATCACAATGCTGATGCAGTCCTGGCACTTTGTGATAAATAAGTGGGTTTTGGGTTGCGGTTTGGTACTCGGTCTCTAAAAGGTTCGCCATCACTGCCATATAACAAAGTATCAAATAAAGTATGAACATAATATTCAAAACATTATATCATTCAGTTAATTTTCCATGATTTGCTAGTCAAATATATCAGTTGAGTCCCCACTAGGATGCACTATTTGCTTAGCCTCTGAAATGACATCATATTTGTTTGATGTTCTAGTCATCATCTACATGTCAAGATGGTGGTCATGATTGCATCTTCAAAAACATAATCCCTTTTTATATTCATGTGATGTTAGGGTGCCAGGCAATCAATCAAGATCTTTAGTTGCATAGTCATAACCATATCTTGGTTCTTGGACGTCTCTGGTCATCAAGTCATCAAGTAATGAAAATGCATGTCTATATTCCAATTTCAGTACACCCAGTATAGACAAGTGTAACCCTAACTATACTACTAACAAAATTATGCACAATGAAGAGAAAGCAGGCAAAACTTTCCATCTTTCTCATCACACTTAATTACTCATTGATTTGAATGACTATTCTGCAAACAGATAAAAGAATTACTTCTCTCACAACTGATTTAGGGGATTTACTGCCACAAGATACTCGGTGATGGAAATTGCCTTAAAGAAACTTCAAGAATTAGTTTCATTTATATCGGTCTACCGGGATCAAGAATATAGCCATAATCTCCAATCTGAATGTCAGTATTGTAGATAAAATATATCACCTGCTAAGGGTAAAAAAAAGAAAAATAAGGACTTCTGCATTCAAAGTGTATAGGAATCTCTTAGCACACTAGTCAGTATAGGACTTCATCTAAGTAATTGCAATGACTGACCAAATCTAAATGGTGGGCCATATCTGGCCCAGGTTGTGCTAGAGCAGCGGCTCCCAATCTTTTCTATACCCTGCACCCTTAGAATGCTTCTGATATATTCTTGCACCCCTTACAAAAGTTCGAAACAACGGCAACAAATTATGCATATACACTATAATTTTCAAAACCCAAGTTTTCGTACCCCCTGGAATATCATCTCGCACCCCAGGTTAGAAACCCCTGTGCTAGAGATATTCCCCTCTAACTTAATACATAATATAGAGTGGGAACTGGAAAAAGTAATTAGTTTGCTCATAATCCAGCATTGGGAAAGCCCACTACAATGCCTCTTTTGACCCTACTTTTTTTTAGGGGGGGGGGAGCAAACTGTGAGAAAATAAAACCTGATTTCTTCTCCAGTTTTCACTAGCTTAAAGAGATTGACAGCCAGTGTAGCAGAATCCTTTCTAAATGGGAATAGGGGCCGCTGAAGTCAATATAACTTAACAAAGAGTAAGCATATGTAGATTTGTTTGCTTTCCTGGACTCTAATTTCTACAGTCCCTCTGAGAATATTTATACTTGTGGTTGAGAGGATAGCTTATCTGTGAATCAATGATTGTAGATGTAAAAATGGGGCTAAATTAATTTTGCAAAAGGAATGTTATATTTTACAAGCAATTAATCTTAACTGACAGTCATTAGTACAATTCATAGTAATTTAATATTTTATACTGGCCCTGTCTTTTTTGGGAGCATGGATTCTGGCAAGTGTAAGTATGTATATGGATAGCTCAATACAAGTATGTCACATGCACACATTAATTGGAGGAATAAAATCTCCAGGACTGGTCTCAGTGGGAGTTAATAACTCTAAATAACAAGTTATGAAAGCTAGACTGTTTACAGAACATTTCTGTTTATTTATGTTTTCTGGGTGGTCAAATATTTTTTATGAGAAATTATCTTAAATTCATGGTTCCCTAGTAAAGCTGGAATAAGAACTTAACTCACTTGTCTTTTCCATAAAACAAATCAGTCACATCAGATGGCTAGCAACACACAAGGGCTAGGGTGGGAGACTGGGTAACAATAAGATGGAATGATTGATAAAACTGAGAACTTCTTCCAGTCTGCAAATCTTTGTTCTCCTTCTCACATAAGAAATTGTGAATGAATGAATGAATGAATGAATGGTGGTCTGATTACAAAGTATACTCTGATCTGAGTCACCGCCAAATTCAATACTTTCCCTTTTTCTACTTCCTAGTATGGTATTCTACCTAATCAAACCGTCCTGCCCCCAATGCATTGGCATGGTTACCACAGGACCATTCTTCACAGGAAGACAGATTTCTTCTGAACTAGTTCTCACACTGACAGTAAAAAGCAAGGAATGAACAAATCCAATTACTGTCAAAACATAGATGAAATGGAAATTAGCCAGCTTGCTCAGAAGGGGGAACCAAACAGTCCACCTGCTAGGATGGGCAAGGATAAAAAAAAACCTTCTACCTAAATGAAGGCTTGAAACATGACTTTTTAAACAGGGTTAATTTTCAATTGCTTCTACAATTCTTGGATTTTTTTTTTTTACTTTTCGGGTGGGACGATGATGAACTTATCTAAGTGGATCCAGTCTTGTTTCCAACTCTGAAAAGAAGATTTTCAGGGAGGATTCATTACTATTCCTGGTAAACGAAGATCTATTCAAAATATATTTGGATCATGTCATGATCCAAATTCTTCTTTGTCCAGTATACTCAAGACAGCAGTTCTTAATTTATCACAACTGATTATATGTATGATTTGCTACTGAAATGCTCACAAATATTTTACTTATTTAGAACATTTTCTTTCCAATTTGACTTTCACATACCTTAAATTGTAGCATTTGTCACATCTCTACTTACCAAGCCTCCGCATGTTGAAAGTGCTACAGTTGAATTTTTGTGCAATCGCAAAATGCCTTGATAAAAACAAAAGTCTTCAGTTGGGAATGTCTGTACTGACTTGATTCTCCCCTTGCCCAGAGTTTGTACTGTAAATCCAGGTGCCACAAGAAAATTGGAGGTCTTAAGATCAAGTTGGAAGTCATGGCCAAATCCTTGGAGATGGAGATGTAATGAATCAGTTGATCTCCCTGAAGTTGATCGCTTCCTTCTTTCATGGTGTGCAATTGCATGGCTTATATAATCTCCATTTTGGTTTACTTCATATGCTGTCACAATGTCATATTCTGAAATCAGTCAAGGTATACAATCAGATTGCAAATGGCAGGCCCAAACTGCAGGCACAGTTCCAAGTGTTTACAAATATAATTCAATTTGCAATTTAGCTCCTTAACTAAATTAAAACTAAATTAAAATTCCAGATAACTGTCAGTGATATATCCATGAAAAGGCAGTGATAATGAGATGTAAGGGCTAAAGAGGAAAGAGTGACTTGCTTAAGGGTGTGAGGCCAACTTGAATTGAGAGGTCCATGCAGCTCTATCATTCAGCTGCAATCAGCAATCAATGCAGATTTTCAAGAAAAAAATCATTTGGAATGTACCCTATATTGAAATATAGAGGATAAAAATATTAAACCACAACAAATTGGTTTATATAATGTTATATATTAGTTAATATATATCATTAGTATAAATACTGAAAGGCAATAGAATCCTGTGTTATATTACTTATATTGAAAAACATCCATCCCAAACTAGGAGATACTTAAAATGATTCACGTACTAACTTAGGTTTCAAAAGAACTGTGTATGAAATATTGAAAACTGTTTTTCACTGGGTGCATAGGGGTATCTTCAGGTTCACTATTTATTCATTCCATTTCATAAAGCGATAATTCTAATTCAGAACTCCCAGAATTATATTCTGATTTTCTAAAGGAGGCTGTTTGAACTTAACAGAGTCATGCTATCTTGCTAATATCCAGTTTGAAATCAAGATCTGGAGATAGCAAGATTCTATGCAAATTGGAGGTTCAAGATTCAAAGACAAAAAGATTTCATTAAACTTTTCTTGAGATTCATTTAGATGTGCAATCAGAAAGTAGGCAATTACCTGCACTTGAGCCATTTTCAGCAGAATGGATGAACATTTTGGATGAAAAATGAAAAAAAAAACTGCATAAAGGATGAAACATTTTCTACCTTATGTTATACTGATTGTATATAGCATTTTATCTGAAAGAACATGAAAAAAATGTATGGTTCAACCAAGTCACAGAATCACAGAATGATGGTGGAAGGGATGGAAGAGAATTTCAGTCCAAAATTGTGGCCAGTTTAATCATGACTTAGTAATTCAAAGCAATTTATTGACTAGCCAAATGCCTCTTGATCCAAAGATTGAAGTGAATAAAGTGAGTGTAAATAAGTTTCTCAGATTACCAAATAGTTGCATCCTGCCAATTTCTGAGTCAGAGCTGCTGTTGTTCTATGCTCTAATTCTCCACTAGATGTCAGTAGTTATTTATTTTCCAACTTTTTCAAACAAAAAAAAATTTTTTTATATAATTTCATTGAAATTCTTTAGGGTGTAAAATCTTAACAGTTTTCTTAATTTTCAGATTTATCCGGACTATAATGTTATTAATTTCATTTCAGTATATTTCTTTCCCCCCTTAAAAGTTAATTCACCACTTCTATCTATGAAATCCTTGAAATCTTGAAATCCTCACTTTCAAGGATTTCTTGTTTTGGGGATCTTTTCCAGGGAATCAGTTACAAAATACAAGACAGAAGGTCAATATTCTCACCCAAGCACACTGTTCACTGTTGTTCTGGTTTGTGCTTTTGGACTTTGTCTGCTAGTAGCTTGGGCTAGACACTGATGTGCAGCTAGCCTTTCTCCTGTCAGGTTGGAGGGCTTCCCCCAGATTGAGCAGATTGACTGCCATCATTCCACAATCATCGGGGTGCCCCTTCTTTGTCACCTCTCCAGGGTGACTTTAGGGTCCCCTGGCAGGGTGAAATAAGCTGTGGGATGCGGAGCCCCGTGATCCCTCAACCGTGTTGCTACAGGGCAAGAACCGGAAGTCCTGCTAGCTCATTTTTAAGTGGGTGTCCAGATCCCTTTCACAGTTATTGCTATTGAGCCAGGTATCACCTATTCTACACCTGTGCATTTAGTTTTTCTTGCCTAAGTGTAAAACTTACTTTTTTTTTAACCACTGGATTGCATTTTGGTGGAAAAGGACTAATGTTCAAGTCTGTCAAGATCCTTCTGGATCTTGAGCCTATCTTCTAAAGTGTTGGTATTCCCCAGCTTGGTGCTGTCTGCAAATTTGATGAGTTCTCTTTCTATCCCCTCATCTACAAATTTGATGAGTTCTTTTTCTATCCCCTCATCTAAATCATTTATGAAAGTGTTGAAGAGTACTAGGCCTATGACAGAATCTTGGGTATCCCACTGTATGCTTCCATGTAGATGTTGTTTTTCAGCCAGTTAGGAATCCATCTGGTGGTGATGCTGTCTATCCCATATTTTTCTATCTTACCAAGAAGTTGGTCTACTATGTCAAATGCCTTACTAAAGTCAAAGTATACTATGTCCAAAGCATTTCTCTGGTCCATTAATTTAGTCACTTTGTCAAACAATGAAATAAAAAATTGTTTGACATGATCTCTTTTTGACAAACCCATAATGGCTTCTGATTATACCTTTGTTTGCTTCTAGGTATTTGTAGATCTGTTTCTTGATTATCTTTTCCAGGATCTTCCCAGGTATTGATTCATGTTGATTGGTCTGTAGTTTCCTGGGTTTATTTTCCCCCCCTTTTTTGAAGATGAACTTTTGGTAATTAGCCAGTGCGCCAAGATTTTGAAAGATATGGTTCAGTAATTCTGAGATCACATTTCCAGCTCCTTCAGAACTCTAGGATGTAATCCATCTGGTCTTGATGATTTGAAATTGTCTAGAGTGGATAGGTGTTGCCTGTTTTGATCTGCATTCGTAATCTGTGTTTTATTGTACTGCTTTTTTTCCTTTTGTGTAAAGACAGATGCAAATAATGAATTAAGCAGTTCGGCATTCTATGTGCTGCCTGTCACTTCTTGCCATCTCCTCCCATTATTGGACTAATCATTTCTCTGACTTTTTCTTGTTTTTTACATTGAAAGAAACTTTTTAAAAATTATTTTTGACATTTATTGCAAATCTTAATTCATTCTGCACCTTAGCTTTTCTGACTTCATCTTTGTAGATTTGGGCTATATGCTGATATTCTGTCTTAGTTACGTCACTCTCTTTCTACTTTTTATACTTGTCCTTTTTCTCTTTCAATTTATCAGAGAGTTCTTTATGTAACAATGCTGGTTTGCTCTGGGATCAGTTATTCTTCTTTTTCAGTAGCATTGTGCTAGACTGGGCTTTTATAATCTCATTTTTCAAAGTTCCCTAGGCTTCTTGAGTCATTTTTCCCCTTAAATATTACCATCCATGGAATCTTGCTCAAACTCTCTCTAAGTTTTTGAAATCAATTCTCTTAAAGTTTAAGACACTAGTCTGATTTTGTTCTATTGCTTGTGCCTGCATTGCAGTATATTGAATTCCAATATCAGATGATCACTCTCTCCCAAAGTTCCCATAACTTCAACCCCTTCTATCATTTCATCTCTGTTAGTGAGAATTAAGTCCAGTATAGCTAATCTTCTAGTTCCCTTTTTTATCTTTTGATAGACAAAGTTGTCTGTTAGGTTCGTCAGGAACCAATTTGATCTCCCACTATGTGCAATTTGTCTCCCAGTTGATGTCAGAATAGTTAAAGTCCCCCATTGCTATTATAGTGTGCATCCTGCATACCTTAGCTAACTGATTAGCACAAAGTTAACCTATTTCCTTGGTTGGGTGGTCTGTAGTATACACCTATGACAATGTTATTCTATTTTCCCTTTATATTAACACAAATTCACATTTAGCACTCTCTAGGGTACATTTCTTCTCCATTTGTATATATTTTCCTTTAATACACCCTAGTAAATTATCACCCAAAGGTTATTGGACTGCAAACTTTTTTCACTGGTCTGCCTTTTACTCTTAACAGAGAGTTCATCCTTTTTTTCCCAGAAACTCTTATAAAGCAGTGCCAAAGTAGCAATTTTTTTCAGAGAAGAAATCAAGTATTCTTTCCTACTTGCTTTTCATGCCAAGCATACAGGAAAAGTAAAGATGCAGAAGACATTATCCTTTTATTGTCAGTTATGAAAGACATTTTCATTAATGTTTCTCTATCTCAACAACTTTAAGATGAGTACATTTCTATACCCAACTTGGAGACTTTTCACATTAGGGATCCTTAGCAGAACACCAATTCTTGCTATGTTGATGTAACATATTAATGCCACAATTCATGGTTCTGATCTTCCTTCCTGTTCTATATTTTTAAGACAGATGTCCTCAAGATGTGTTCATGTATTGTTTGCCCAGATATACTCTCGCCAGGTAGGGGAATTTATGCCTACCATAATACTAGTAGGCACTAGGGTAGCTTAATAAAGAAGGATCAGATGTTTGGTGGTTCCCAAAACAGAAGGACAAGAGTGCCTGGGATTAAGCCAGTTGGGTGGTTTTCCTTTGGCCAAGGCATTGGTAACTGTCTTGAAGGCAATGAATGAATGAATGATGAATGAGTGAATGAATAAAATGAAATGAATGAATGAATGAATTGAAATGAAGCAGGGTTTTCTGAAGACAGAATCACTCATATTCATTGGTAATTAAATGGTACATGGACAGAATGTGATATGAATCACAGGGCAATGTCTTCCACTGTCACATAGCACTCATTTGAGCTTGTGGAGACTGAGAAGTGGCTAGGATCATCTGCAGCATGAATCAACATGTCTTTAGAGCCACATCCTACTGGCTCTTCAGGCATCTGGAAGGCATGCATGCCTGAATTCAAGATATGATTTATGGGGTTTTTTTGGGGGGGGGAGGATTTGATGTCTTCAGCCTTGAAAAAAGTGTGTTCTCAAATAACCATATCTCAATATATGTTGTTTCCAATACCCCCTTTGGGGAATGTTGCTGAAAAAGTTGCAATGCCCTAATTATAAAGGAGCCTAGATGAAAATGATTGAGTTTTTGCCAGGTTTCAGATCAGGGCAGAAAGGTATTGGTTACTCTTGTGCATACCAGAGTGTGACTTTGGACAATCATACTCTCTCAGTCCAACCCATCTCATAGGGTTGTTATTGTGGGGAAAACACAAAGAGGAAAGAATATTAGGTATGTTTGCTGCCTTGACTTATTTATAAACAATAATAAAAGCAGGATAAAAATCAAACTAAACCAAACCAAATAAGTAAAGTATACCAGGATCTCGATGGTGTGAGTATGACCCATTTGGTCCTGTTAGATCTCACAATGGCTTTTGTTATCATTGGCCGTGCTATCTTGCTGGATTGCCTACTAGTATTGGAGATGCTACCTTGTGGTGTTTCCATTTGAAGGGGAAAGCAGTTGAACTAGTGAGTGCTCTAATGTGGGTACTATAGACTTGGTTTGCTTCCTACTGCATTTTAATATCTACATGGAACTATTGGGGAAGCTCTTCCACCAACTCTGGTTGAAGAATTATTGGTTTTGCTGATAATCTTTATTTGTGCATCATCCCCTCGAGGCAGGCTGTAGGAATTGTGACAATCCTAATTCTGTCTAGAACTGTAAGGATCTGGATAGGAAGAAATAAACTCAGACCAAATCCGAAAAGATGCTGTAGCTGTTGATCCAGAGGCACCCCAGTTCACAACAATTCTATTGTTAGCTTTGGATGAGGTCATCCTTGAAGCAGGGAGGGGCTGCTGAGGTTTCCATTCCTACATGAATAGGGTTCAAGAGGGGTAAGACACATAGGCCCCAAAGTAATCCTCTCTGTGGTTAGCCTCACACTCTTGAACTCTTTGCCTCTGAAGACTTGCTTACTCCTTTTTTATTGACCTTCCACAAACATAGTTCACAGAGTGGGCGGACTTTTTTTTTTTAAAGCATCGTTTCATTGTTAGATGTAATGCATACTTATACTGTGAGTTGCTAGGACTTTAACTGAGCAGGTCATGATAAAAATATAGTCAGATAACATTGGAGGTATTATGAGCATTTATCAACAGATAAATGCTTTAGGTATTTACGCCAGTCAGAGAAGAAGGAGATTCCACTGTTCTCTGTCTAGTCTAAAAATGACTTGTGAGAGAAAGACTGAACATCCCAACACTTTTTATACCAGAGAAGGAAGACACAGTTCTTCTCCTGCATATCAGTAGAAGAGGGGGCAAGCATCAGTCTCCCCTTTGGAAGTCACTAGGTTAATATTCCTTGGCACTTAAAGTGACCAGATGAGTAGTCAAAAATATTACTATTCATTAATATTAATACACACTAGATATTACTTATATTTGTGTGTGTGTGTGTGTGTGTGTGTGTTATTTACTGTTATTTGGATAGTTCTACTATTGGATTTAATTTGCTTGGCTGTTTTATGACTTTAATAAAAGCTGGATTTCCTGCTCTCCTGGTTGTGAGAAAAGGGTGCATGTGTTTGTGTTCTCACACAGATACCTGCTCACTTATTCTGAAATATTTGCAAGGCAAACAGAACAAGTCACTGATTGGGTCTGATCTTTATTTAGGTTCCTATTGCTATGTGATAAGACCTCACTGAGAGCAACAGTTATTCATTAGCTTCAATTTGTGTGGGTGTTAGTTCCTCATCCATTAAGTTATTATTGTTAGGTTTTAAGTTGCAGGGCAGCAATTCTAGACTGGAAGAAAGCCAGTAACAAATATATCAGTTTAATTTAAGAAAGTCATGTTCAATCCTTTGACACAGAGCAATGAAACACATCAAATATAACCCACATTTCACAATTATTACTATGCCAAATATCAGCAGATAAATTCAATAATTCAGACCTACTAATAAAACACAGAATTTGGCACCTATAAAAAGCAGCAAGATTTCTTAACAGTCCACTTATAAGCATTTTATTTGGAATTAGTCTCAAAATTCAATATCATTTACTCCCATGTGGGTTTACAACAGGATAAATTAGATTTAACAGGTTAATTGTTTATGTTTTAAACATTTAAGCTTATTCTTATCTGAATCCCCACAGAATTAGGCAGCCAACGTTATGCAAGTTTAATTGACAGCTAATTCCATTATTTTGGTGGGGCTAAATTCCAAGAAAGTGTACTTCCCTCAGTGATTATGGTAGAATATATTGCCAAACATGCTTAAGATTAAACAGTGTAAACAACCCCAGTTTTACAGTTCTCCTAGCTCTGAAACAGAAGCTTTTGGACTGCTCATAGGATCACATTAATGTACAAAATCTCAGTTAACTTTTCTGAAAGTTCATACTACATAGTACAGCACATTAAAATTGCACTCCTTGTAACCACACTACTAAACACTATGGAATTCACTTCCAAGTCAACATGCACTGCATTTATACTCTGGAGATGCTATCAGTGAAAAGTTGGTGCATTTGCAAAAGATTGCAAAGGAAGTCAAAAGGTTGTTTTCAGGTATAACTCACTTTACATGCAATATTGCTACCTTTGGTTACATAACTTGAGCATTTAGGAAAATAGTAAAATTCAGGTGCTTTACAAATATCCTGAGTTCTATTGACTTACCACTATTATCTGTGAAGTGCAGCAACTCTGAATGCAAAGAGGAAAACGGGAGATGTTGGCTCCCTTCAGCTGTTTGACCCACACATCCCTACGAAATTAAAAAATAAAAATAAAAAATACAAAAAAACCAAGCAAATTTGAAAGAGAGGCAGAGAGCAACAATCTTTTCCCCTACCCTCAATATTTTGCAAAGGTTCCGGGAATGCAACAAACAAACAACTTTTAACGTTGTTTCAGACAACATCCCTGAGAGATTCGCGTTGACGTCATTAATGCGGCGGTAAGGGAACCGGGTCGGGTTAGGGTGAGGGAAAACACACACACACACACACACTCACACACACACACTCACACTCACACACACACAAAACGGGAGGCAACGGCTTCAGCCTTAGTTGCTCTGGGCGAACGTACCTTAACCTGTATTTCAAAGAAAAGCCAAAACCACAGCCCCGCTAAGCTGTTTGAAGGCATCCTCCCGAGAAGTAATGAATTGTAAGCAGTGGGTAAAATCGGACGGAGGGAGGCTGACTCCTGATTTGGAAAGGGGAGTGGAGCCCTCTTCCAGGGTGGCAAAGATCTGCATCTGCGGGGGGCTGTGCAGAGAGGCAGCCTAAAGCGACTTTATGACAGGAATGAACAGATCTCTCTCCCGGAGGCGGCGGCGGCGGCGGCGACGGCGGCGGCTCCGTGGCGAGGAGAACGTTCAGTGGCTGTTAAAGGGTGTCTGACCAAAAGTGGCGGGGCTGCTGCTGCTGCTGGTGGTGGTGATGACGGCAGCGGGCGTGGAAGGGACCGACGGTTGGAGGCTCCTTGGCGCGCCAGGTGTATCTCTCCAGCCCGTCGCCCCATGCGAGCTTCTGCGAGGACCTCCGCTGGCAGCACGGATGAGGGTAACCAGCCGGCTCCCGTTGAATGACAGTCAGTTCGGCCCCGCCCCTCCCGCACCTGCCGCTGCTGCGAAGAACCGGCGCGCTCGGATGGAGAGGTGGGAGGTGGGCGGGGCTTTGCTCTTGCCGTCCGCCTAGCTTGCCTTTGTCCTGCTGAGCCAAAGAGGCGGGCAGGTATGAGAAAAGGCGGACGGGAGAGGAGTTTCGGGACCCCGGAACTCGCTACACTCTTCAGCCCTGCAAGTGCTTTTTCGAGCAGGTGCAGAGGGCATATGTCTTCTGTCTTTAGAAAGGACTGGTATCCACCTGAACCAGAAAAAAAAAAAAGATGGCAGATTCATATATTTGAACTCTACCATTCCTGAATGCAAATGTATATAAGGTATGGAGTGCGGGGAGGGAATAAAGTTTTTAAAAAGTTACCCTGGTTAAAAATATTGATAAAAACTAAAATGGAAGAAAACAAGCCAGGGTGAAGTAATTCTTTTCTATTTGAAGGGAGGTCCTTGCACTTGGTTTTAATTGACCAGAAGTGTTAGGAAGAGCTTCCATCTCTTGAAACTTTTTAAAATCTCATCTTGGTCCATTGATAAGATAAAGTCCCAGTCACTGAGAGTTGGGCAGCGTACAGGTTTAATTACTATCAATAATTGAGCTCAATTTCTTTCTGGTGAATTCAGGTATGGCCTCATTCTGGCAGCCATTTTAATGTGCTCCCTTCCCATTTGTACAGGAGCACTAAAATATGCCAGTATAATTTGCTCTGTCCTGACAGCTAAACTCTAATTTGCTTGACAGTGACATCTGTGTATGTGTGAAAATGAGTAAGATGGCAGAAGTGACATCATGATGCAGGTCCCAGCCTTTCTGTATATGCACTGAAGTTGCATGCATGTTCAAAGGGGCATCACAACGCTGTCTGCTATTTAATGCTTTACATCCTGGAAGCCACTGGTCCCTCAGAAACAAGGCAGTAGAGTGCTGTAGCATCCATGTGGGCCATTAAGAAAATCATTTGCTGGATTTCCCACCAGTAGGGAAAAGATCTGTCAGTTTTCCTACCTAACATGTAGAGGTGTTAGTGTAAAATATGAGTTTTGACAGAACTCTAGAGTCATGGGTCTCTCCTGCTTTGCCCAAAAGGCTCTGCTCATCCACAGATTAAGAGCTACAGTACACATTCTTTTTCTGTTATCTGCAGATTACCTCTCTTGCTTGCTATCTCTCTCTTGATTTTGGTTTCCTTCTTGGTCTGTGTTGATAATTCTCTTGCACTCTTCTTGTTCTTGCTCATTCTCTCAAATATGGCTGATAGGTGGACTCTTAATAGGCGCCGGAAGGTAGACTCCCTGCTACTTCTGCCATCTCCCTAGCTCCATCGTTGTAATTTGTCATTTCCACCACTTCTGCTGCCAGAATAGCATCCAGCAGCACCACTCACTTTACAAAGAAAGGATTTTGAAAAGTGGTAAGATTTGGATTATTCTAGGTTCATGTGTGCAGCCTATAACCAGTAAGCTGTTTCACAGAAGTGTTTAACAAATGGGAAGAGATGATTTTGCCTAAGGAAAAGAATAGTTCTTTCTTTCCAAAGATTAAACCCCACAGGCTGGGCCTGAAAAGTGTGAGTATCTGTGCTGCAATTGAAATCAGCCACCAAAACTGGGCAGATCCCAGTCCATGACTGCATCATCACCATGGCCACAACCAAAGCATTGAAAATTGAGCATATAGCAAAGCATATTTCTGGATAGAAAATGCCACTTTGACATTTGATCAGCTTCTCATAGAATTAGGCAGGGGGTGCAGCTGTGGGCTGGATATGAGACAAGGACTACATCATGAACACATGTCCTTAAAGAATGGTTAGCAACACATGTTTGTGTCACAGTGAGGGCATATGCAGACAAGCCATTTTCAATCAGCAAAGATTTGTTAAGTGTTGCCATTCTCTCTGGCCATTGGGATTTATTTATTTGAAAAAAAAGTTCTAAAAATGGCCCGAAGTTATAGACATCTCTATATATCAAAATTATTTCAATACACGCTCACATTGAAATAATCATTGTTTCTTTAACAGAGGATGTAGAAATCCTTGTCTGCACACAGACAGGGACTCTGCAACTAGAAGTAGACTAGAGTAACAAAATCAAAAAGAGAGAGAATATTTCTGTGAATTTATCCTTCTTCCTACAACCAGACTCTGGAAAATATTGACAACAAATATTTCTGCCTTCATCCCAGTTTATTCATGAAAAAGTCTCTATCAATGGCTATGGAGGGCCTTCTGTAAATCTGAACTCTCCAGATTTGGAAATTACCTTTCTCATGTGCTTGCAGTGCATTGGGATAAGTAGGAGAAATTATATAATAAAGTGCATTAAACTACTTGGAAAGAAATGTACCAATGCTTTGCAGTGGGATTTGGGGGGAGGGGTCAATCTGATTTAGTATGAGCTAGATATAAGAAGTTATTATAATGGCAGCTGAAATGGATTGTGTCGAGCTGTTCCACCTGACATATCTCCCTTCAAAACCCTGAGTGAGGCTCATTTCCAAATGCACATTAAAGAATCAGTGTAACACCTGCAACATTTGCTGCAGTGAATGGTAGTATCTCTATGGGCCTTTTTTGCCTCCTGCTTTATTTTTCTTTCAAAAAGAAGTTTTTGAGGATTTCCCAAAAAATTGTTGTTCATCCACCTATTACTTCTCTAGTCTAGACAATAGTAAAAAATGTTTAGATATAAAATAATCCTTGATGCTAACCTGCTATATACTATGAAATTCCCTGTTTACTAGCTGACTAAACCAAAAACATGAGAATAAAAAAAATTGGCACACTATAATGCATGACATAGTTTTCAGTGCTGTGACAAATTACATTACTTGGCTGCTTGTAGGAGTGAGAGCTCACCCAGAAGAGGGAGCTGGGGACTGTACAGACCATATAGTTGACTCAACATTAGAACTGCTCTTCAGTAGTCTCTCTTCCCCAAACTCACACTAAAGCATTGAACTCCTATTTATGCTTACAGCTATGGAACAATTTATATTCTCTGTGCCTTCAGTGGAGGAAACAGAAGATGCAAACTGAAGTAATCCAAATGGTCATATAACATCTAACTGATTGGGAGCCGCCCAGAATTGGTTAGAAGATGGGCGGTTATATAAATGTTTTAACTAACTAACTAAATAAACTCTAAGACTGGAAACCAAATGAAAACCAGGAAAACATTATCCTTCCCAGGGTTACATGACAACTCTTCTACTGAAATTTGCACCAAAGGAGGATCTTTAATACTCTAATACTTTATTTCAGGTTGGAGAGTTTGGCATGTTTAATAAAACTAGCTAATGATATCTAGTGATATTCGGAAAGTAAATGTTTAGTGAAAATTAATATTTCAAACTATATTACTCTAATAAAAGGGGTCTACATGATGAATGAAAGTACCATGAGCTTGTGAGGAAGAATAAATGGTGAAAATGAATATAGTTTCAAAATTAATACATTATTCTGAAAACTGTACCTATGTTGGTTTTCCTTAAATATTTTAAGTAAATTGATAACCTATTGATAAGATGTTAGTTTCTTGATTTTAAAATGTATCATTGCACAGGGCTGTTAACTTCAATAACTTATTAGAATGAAAATATTATTAAATACATACTACTGTGGGTTTAACTTGAGAATTACATTAACAATGTTAATAAGAATTCCAGAGATATTCCAGGCCTCAAGACAGTTTGACATATTTGGGCTTTATTGGAAAACAAATTAAAATTTGATATTGATTATTATGAGAAAATTAATTTAAATTAATTGAATAATTTAACTGAATAATTTAAAAATAGAAGTAAATAACTTTTACTTTACTTCTATTTTACTTCTATTTTGTTTGTTGAAAAACAAACAAAAATAAAACATGAAGTGAAAATGAGTGGGTTACTCTTAATTAATAAGTACTGAGACTATATCAATTTTTGGAAAATATTGAAATATTAAAAAGAATAAAAATTTCCCAAAATTTAATAGCGATATATCAGATAAAATATTTTTTCGGCCCAGATGCTATTGCAAAATCTGAAACTCTGGTACCTTTGACTATATTACAAAAGATTTTTGTAGGAGCTAAATTTATAATTCAGTATTATCTATCTCCTGTCTGGATAATATATAAGGAATTTGGAATAGTGAATTGTTATAATCTATATAACAATGGCAATGTTCTCAAATTTTAAGGAACATTAAATATATTTTGGAGGATTTAAAAATTAGGTTAATCAAATAAACAAGAACTTGTTTGAGTATATTATATTTTTAAAACAGATATTCAAAAACACTGGGATCTTTTCTATGCTGGAATTGTAATAAATCTGAAGGGACATTAATGTATATGCCTGAATTATTTCTATTGCATTTTTTTTATGGTTTAGTTACATTGGTGGGATTCAAATATGTGAACAACCTGTTCTCTATGTGGATGCTGCTTCTGGAAGTCCATTCTAGGCCTTTGGCTACCAGTTCTGCCAAAGTGGTGTGAACCAGCTGAAACCCACCACTGGTTAGTTATTATTACAGCGAAGTTCTTGGGAGAAATGTAAAATTTAAAATATTAATGTAGTGTTAAATTAGATTCCCCAAATCTGAACGTCAATGAAACACTTTGGATATATTAATCGATCCCTTCAGGTTTAATCAGGTTCTTTAGATCAAGCAATGTTATTGTGAGGATGAAGAAAATGTGTCTTTTCTATTACAGCAGCTGCCCTCTAGAACTGGCATGTCAAACTCGCATAAATGGCTCAGAATGTGGGCTTGGGAAAGGGTAAGTTACTTTTGGCTAGTGGGTATCATGGGTAGTAATCCTTGACAGACTATTTCCTCCACCAATTTGACTTCTATAGTTAAGCTAATAACTATATTTTGAAATAAAGCTATTCTGAAATTATTTTTTAAAAAAGCGTTTCACACTTCATATAAGCATAGCATCTCTCAGTTATTCAGTAAAGCATATTCACCTTTCTCTGACTTCAGTGCCTGAAGAGGGTTGTTTAGAAAAAAAAAAACAATTTGAAGAGGAATAGTCACATTTTTTTAAAAAATCACACACTATGCACAAATGTCTAGAACCAATGTGCCAATTTTTGATCTCAGTTACACATTTGCTCCACTGAACTCATCTTGCAGCTGCTTCATTTCTCAGATGTGAAACAACCCCTCCCCCCCAATTCCTTGTGCAGTGGACAAATTATTCTATTCATTAGATAAGAAACAAGCTACACCAATATCAGCCAACATCAGCAAAACAGATGACTATCTCTTAGGATTTCTGCACAGGCCAGGTGTAACAGACTGGTTGTGATAGCCATGGGAACTTTAGAAGCTTATCATTATGTGAAACTGATCTCACCAATCCCATCTCTCTGTGTGGTCTTACACTTAAATCCGGGGCTGAAGACAGGGAGTTCCCCATTTATCTTTAAGGAGAGTCTGTACATTGGGTAATATCTGCAGCTGATATACGATTCCTCAGGCAGCTTGCTTTGCGGAGGGGAATTGTTCAGTATTGGTAAACTGAATCAAAAGAGAAAATTAATTTCCCTTTATTTCCTATTCCCCATGGAAGGAAAAGCTACAACCATTTCTCATAGAGTTAGTTTTATTGCTGGAAGGAGACTAGACTTGTACCCCCTGCCATGTTACAATGTAATGCAGTCCCCCAAGTTGATGTTGTCCAGATGTGTTATAACTCTACAAATTCCCTTTGACTGTCCTGCTCTTGTGGCATGTGGGTATGGTTTCTTTTGTCCTTCCCAGCAAGTCTAAAATAACATGCAAAGCCACAGTGTTCCAGTGTCAGAGAGAAGCTTTATTGATGTGGAACTCCGTGTTTTGGCTTGATTGATGGTGTGATAGCATTTGTGTTATGCATTGTGTTGTGGTAATTCGGGAACTTACATAGGGAAACCAAGCAATGTGTCAGTGTGAGTATGCATAACCATGAAAAGCTTAACTTCAGTAATACTTCCCTACTCACTTAGTTACCGATAGGTACATTACAGGCCAGCTTTATATAAAGATAGGTATGCTTAAACTAAGTGAAACTGAGGTTTTCAACTAAGACGATTTTATGTTTATGTACCTTTACAAATTACAAACTGTTTCAAGATGGTTCTAGATGTCTTTTCTTGCCTAATCATGGGCAAGATTTGTTCCTCCCAACATGACTGCTTTTAATGTAGATTTCCAACAAATTGTTTAACCCCCTATAAGAAACCTAAAGTAGGTGTTGTGTGAGCAGCCAATGAGAGGGAAGTTAGATGTTTCTGCATTTTTCTGTGAACAGTATAGTAAATTGTCACATTTGTGAGATAAGGGGCTATATGAATCATTTAATTGCCAGCAAATAAATTAGTGCTATATATTTGGATCCTTAAACAAAGTACTTCAATACTCACATTCCTCCTCCCATTAAAAGAAATCTGGTGAGTGATTAGTTTTGGCTACTTTGCCAAAGGTGACAAAGCAGTTAAGAACCATCTAATGACGATGCATTGTTTGAAAAAAAACATCCAGCCTCATCTTGCCTCCACTCAAGGTAGAACACACTGAAAACCACCCTGCTTTGTACCCAGTAGCCATATCTAAGTGATGACAATAATTAAAAAAAATCTCTTTTCCCATTGATAACAAGTGAATTTACAAGTTACATGTTAGGGTTCCTCTTGTTAAAAACTATTTATCAATCAGTGTAACGATTATTGCCTTACTTTTTATCTCAACAGCTTATATATGGACTGGAGGCATAAGTTCTTATTATGATTATTCCTCAGGAGAATGAATATTTCTGACAGTATTTATTGTATACTTTTTCTCAGGCTTGTTTCTCTTGAAGAAATCAACTGTGGCTTAAGAAACTGATTAGAGCTTTGGTTTGTAGGAGTAAGGTTTATGACCCTCTTGTGACTTATTTTCTCTATTAAAATTTCTATCAGGCTCTTTTTTTTTCACTTCAGTGTGCCTTTTATTTTGTTTTATTTTATTAGAATGCTTTAGGCAAAGACAAAAATTGCAGGCCACCCTGCAACCTATGCAGAGAAAAAAATGTTGGTAGTGAGGACATCATGTGTCCACAACTGACCTTTTCACTGAACTTCTCTAATCAGTTTTAAAGAGCTTTCCTCTGCAGTTTTTAGCTGCTTTTTGAAAAACAAAACAAATTTTAAAGAATGGTAACTGATAGGTCCGCATGCTTTCTACTTTATAACACAATTTATTCATAATAAAATTTGATTTATCAACCACCAAGGGAATAATTATATTCCCACTGCAATCATACTTGTTAGGGCCAAAATACTAAGCCTGATATTTATGTCACATACATTTGTACTTATAAAGTTGTACAAAAATGGAAGTAATTCAATTCAATATTGCATGTTTCTTGCTGCATTTCAAGTGTAAACTTAAGGCTAGAGCTATGTTTTGTATCAATAGAAACCTGCATGGGGATTTTCCAATTGAAGTATTAAGTAAATTTATTTGTTTCATACTGATCTCTATCCTAGTTAATCCTTGTCTATGAATTTGACTCATGGGGAAAAAATCATGGCCTCATCCTTGACTTATTGTAGATTTTCAGTTCAATCACCGGGAACACTAGAGAATGAGAGGGTCTTACAAGAGAGTAAGCAATGTATCTTGGATATAGACTTATAGAAAAACAGGAACAGAATTTCTGATCACTGTCATTTTGGCATATGGAATAAACCTTTATCTACTCTTAAATATTTATATAACATTATCTCCATTCCTAACAGAAGAGCTTATACTGTTCCCAGGCTTAATGCTTTGCTATCAAGAAACCAGAAGAAAGGTATAGCAACATTCCCTTACAGAAACAAATCTGCTCTTGGGTGAAGTGTGAGACTGAATCAGCAACACATATTCTGCTAAGCTGTCCATTATACTATACATGGTACTCTGAACTGATATCACTAACAATTTCTCCAACTGTATCATGAAAGTGAATACATCTGTCCCTAATTTTTTCTTTCAGGTCTCCAATGGTATATTTATTACCACTGTAGCTCATTCCATTCACCTTGCTGCTGGTTATCTTCTCTCTTTCCTTCTACCTCAGTGTTTCTTAACCTTGACAATTTTAAGGCAATGCTGGCTGTTGAATTCCACATGCCTTAAAATTGTCAAGGGTGAGAAACACTGTTCTACCTTTTTCAACATTAAAACTTCTTTAGGAAACTGAATCATCACATAATGTACGGTATCTAAAGTAGGATAATTTGAGCCTGGTCATTTGTGCCTCAGTGAGAACTCTGGGTTGATTTGTTTGATGGTCCATCTCTTTGTTCTCTGACCAGAGCATTCACAAAAGTCTTCACCAAAGCTCAAGTTTGAAAGCATCAATCCCCTTCCTATCCTGTTTCTTCAAAGTTCAATGCTACTCAGGCACAATTGCTTCTAATGAAATTTAGCTATAGCTAAGTTCTGGTAATTCCACGTCAAAATACAGTTAGCTGCATTTTCTCTTAATAGTTTATTAGATGTTTGTTGCTTAATGTTTTGTACAAAATGTTGTTCTGTATGACCATGAATAAAATGTGATCCTTTTTTTTATAAATACATTTTTATTGAAAATTTTTTAAAATTTTACAAAAACAAAACAACCCTTCCCCAAACCTCCCCAACCCTCCCATTCCCTCCCCCGACCTTCCCAGAGCTGAATATAGGCTTAAATAAAATTTCTTCAAAAAATCTTAAAAAAGATATAAACCATGAGTAAATCTAAATACATTAATTAAACAAATTATAAAATAATTAACAATAATATATATATAGAAAAACATAAATACCAAAAAAAATACTTAAAAGGAAAAAGAATAAAGAAGAAGAAAAAAGAAAAAGATAAAAGAAAGTATAATAAAAGTAAAAAGTAAAAATAAAAAGAAAGTAAAGTCTATAAAATATTTTAAATTTTAAATATAAAATATAAGTTATTAAAAACTAAGTAATATTTTTATATCCAACTTATGTTGTATAAAATCTATCCATTTTTTCCATACCTCAAAATACTTCTCTTGCGATTGATCCTTTAAAAAAGCCGAAATCTTTGCCATTTCCGCCAAATAAGAAACTTTAAAAAACCATTCTTGCAAAGTAGGCAAAGATTCCTTCTTCCAACATTGCCCTACTAACAACCTTGCAGCTGTAATTAAATTTAACATCAATGTAGTCTCTTTAGTATCACAATCAGTAACAATACCTAACAAAAACAATTGTGGGGTAAATTTTACCCTCCTTCTAAAAATTCTTTGAATATTCCACCATATCTTAATCCAAAAAGCTTTTATATTTTTACACGACCACCAGATATGATAGTAAGTAGCATCCAAACATCCGCATCTCCAACATTTAGGCTGTAAGTCAGGATACATGCGAGACATTTTTTGTGGATCAAGGTGCCATCTATAAAACATTTTGTAAAAATTCTCCCTTAAGTTTTGGGCTTGTGTAAATTTGACATTCCTCACCCAAATAATTTCCCAGGTATCTAATAGAACTGGTTCACCAAAATTTTGTGCCCATTTAATCATACATTCTTTGACTAATTCTGCTTCTGAATCCAATTCTACTAACACCCCATAAATTCTCTTAATGTGAGTTCGTCTTTGATCTTTTATTTGTTTTAGCAAGTTTTCATCTTCTCTAAGCAAGCCCACATTACGATCTATCTTCCACCTATCCGCTATTTGTCTATACTGAAACCATGAGTAAATAATATTTTCTTTTGTTAAATCTTCCAAAGATTTTAACTGCCAATTTTTACCATCCCATCTAAGTAATTGTGTGTAAGAAACACTATCCATCTTAACTCCTCTCCTTATCCCTTCTATCGCATGCCATGGTATAGCCCATAATGGAATTTTAAAATCACTTCTATAATATTTCCTCCAAACCCAAAGTAAAGAAATCCTTATAATATGGGATTTAAAAACCCTATCGACCTTTTTATTAAAAATTAAATAGGCATGCCATCCAAAAAGTAAATCCCAACCCTCCAAGAGGAGTATTTCTACATTTGTTAAGTTAACCCAATCACTTATTAATGTTAGAACCACAGCATCATAATACAATTTCAAATTCGGTACCTTGAGTCCACCCCTCTCACGAATGTCCTGTATAATTTTAAGTTTTACTCTTGGTTTTTTCCCTGCCCAAATAAATTTGTTAATACCTTTCTGCCATTCATTTAAATTAACCTCATTCTTTAAAATAGGTATCATTTGAAATATAAAAAGAAACTTTGGCAAAACATTCATTTTAATCACCGCAATTCTTCCCAAAAGAGATAATTGCAACTTCTCCCAATTTTTCAAATCTCTTTGTATATTGACCCACAGCCTTTCATAATTATTTTTATACAATTTTGCATTAGAAACAGATAAAATAACCCCCAAATATTTTACCTTATTAACAACCTCAAAATCTGTCAACTTAACCAAAGTCTGCTTATCCAAATTAGTCATATTTTTAGGCAATATTTTAGTCTTGTTATTATTAATTTTAAAACCCGAAACCTGTCCATAATAATGTATCAATTGTAATAACTCTATTACAGAATAAGTAGGTTGAGATAAGGTAACCACCAGGTCATCTGCGAAAGCCCTTAGTTTATATTCTTTTTTATTAACTTCTATCCCTTTTATTTGCTGTGATTCTCGAATTTTAATCAACAATATTTCCAAAGTTAAAACAAACAGCAACGGTGACAGAGGACAACCCTGTCTAGTCCCCTTCTCTATTGTAAACACCTCTGACAAACCCCCATTAACTATAAGTTGTGCTGTTTGTTTTTGATAAATAACATCAAGAGCTTGTAAAATTTTTTCTCCAAAATTCATTTTCTCAATTAGTCTTAACATAAATTGCCAATTCAATTGGTCAAAAGCTTTTTCAGCATCTAAAAATATCAATCCTGCAGAGACTTGATTATTTTTGTCTAAATATTCTAATAAATTAATAATTTGTCTGACATTATTCTTCATATACCTTCCAGTTATAAAACCCATTTGGTCTGTATGTATAACATGATGCAAAACCCTCATAAGCCTATTAGCTAAAATTTTTGCAAAAGTCTTATAATCTACATCTAGGAGAGATATAGGTCTATAATTTTTTGGTAAAGTAAGGTCTTGATCTTCTTTTGGAATTAGAGATATAAAGGCTCTACCCCATGACAGAGGGATCTCTAAACCCTGTAATATGTTATTAAAAAGCTCACTTAAAGGTTGAATCATCTCTTGTACCAAAGTTTTATAATAAATAGATGTCAAACCATCCGTACCCGGTGCTTTATCTAATTTTAATTCTTTGATCACCGTCTCAATTTCCTCACTAGTAATCAAACCATTAATTTCTTGTTTCTGATCTTCTGTTAATTTAGGGAAGTTGGCTTCATTTAGATAATTATCTATATCTAATACCTGTACTTTAGTACTCTTATATAATTTTTGATAATAATCTAAAAAAGATTTCTTAATCAACTCCTTCTGGTATACCAGTTTACCATTATAATTGATTTTATCTATAATTCTCTGTCTCTGTTTCTTTCTCAGTTGGTAAGCCAACCATCTCCCTGGTTTATTAGCATTACAAAATGTATTTTGTTTCATATACAGTAAATTAGTTGCAGTTTGATCAGCCATCAACATATTGAATTGTGATTTAAGCAATTTTATTGAATCTTTAACCTTCTCATCTGTAGGATTTAAAATCAAAGTTTTTTCTTTTAATTTAATCTCATCTTCCAATTCCTTACGTTTCTGAATCTGCTTCTATGAACATTATTCATTTGTATCAAAATCCCTCGCATGAAGGCTTTGCCTGCATCCCAGACCATTTACATTGAAGTTCCCTTATGCATGTTTAAAACAAAATAATCCTTTAAATGCTCCTTTAATTTTTGAACATTCTTTTCTTGTCTAAATAAATTTTCATTCATCCTCCACGATCTCCTCTCCTCTTTTTCATCGACCAATTCCATCCAAACTGGACTATGATCCATCAGTGTCCTAGGAAAAATTTTAACATTCTTTACCCTAAAATATAAGTCAGTTGTAATCAGGAAAAAGTCAATTCTTGAAAAAGATTGATGCCTATCTGAAAAGAAAGTGAAATCTCTCTCCTCCTGATTGTGTTTACGCCAATAATCTCGCAACTCCCAGTCCTCTTTCAGATCAAAAAAAGCTTTAGGTAATTTAGCCTGTTTAAAAGAAATAGAAGATCCTTTTTTGTCTCTTTGTGTATCTAAAACACCATTCCAATCTCCCATTAGTATAACAGATCTGTAATCCAACAAGGTTAATTTTTGGTGTAACAGTTATAAAATTATTCCTGTTGTTGATTTGGTGCGTACAGTCCCACTATAAGTACTTTCTTACCATACAAACCAACTTCAATCATAACATATCTCCCTTGAAGATCAGATTCTACCAAACAGGCTGATAAATTTTGCTTAACATAAATAACTACTCCCCCTTTTTTCCCAGGGGCAGAAGATACAAAATGAGATCCCAAACAAGCATTAACTAGATATTTTTGATCTTTAGATATAATATGCGTTTCCTGCAAGCAGATAATATCATTATTATGTTGCTTTAAATAATGAAAGATTTTCTTTCTCTTTTGGGGGGAATTAAGGCCATTAGCATTCCAAGTCAGGAGCTCTACCATCTCCCTTAACCAGAAGCCTGGAGAAGACTGCTTGAAGATCTGCCATTGAAGAATGTACTGCAGAACTCTTGGGTCAATAAAATGTGATCCTTGATCCACATACCTTTGTAACTAACGTGTGTAGCAGAAAAAGTGGTGCTGGGTGATGGCTATATATTTCAAAGACATTTATTGTTCACAACTGACTTTTTTTAAAAAAATGTTTTACCAAGAGTTCTCCTATCAGTTTTTAAGAAATTGTCTTTTGAAGTGTGCAACTGAGTTTTTAAAAAATAAGTCAAAAAAAGAATGAAAAGAATACTAAATGGTGATTCGTCCTATTTTTCACTTAACATGTAAGATAATTTACCATAACAAACTCTGAGAAACAAACTATGCAATGATGGAAAACGCAAAGATATTGGAATTTTCAAAAGGCAGTTCATTTTTGGATTATTTCCAAAAGACTGGTTTTTAAAAAGAGGCTGGAGTTCCATCTATGTGGAAAGTTCTCCTTTTAGTTCAAATCCTGGTGACTAAATGAAGTTATCTTAGCTTGCCATTAATTTCTTCCATGATGTCTTTTTTTCAACTTCCCAATTTATCATTCTATATGTTCTGGTTGTCTCTCATCTTGTCCTCTTCGGATGCTGCTATACAGTGGGGCAAAAAAAGTATTTAGTCAGTCACCAATTGTGCAAGTTCTCCCACTTAAAAAGATGAAAGAGGCCTGTAATTGTCATCATAGGTAGACCTCAACTATGAGAGACAAAATGATAAAACAAATCCAGACAATCACATTGTCTGATTTGGAAAGAATTTATTTGCAAATTATGGTGGAAAATAAGTATTTGGTCACCTACAAGCAAGCAAGATTTCTGGCTCTCACAGACCTGTAACTTCTTCTTTAAGAGGCTCCTCTGTCCTCCACTCATTACCTGTATTAATAGCACCTGTTTGAACTTGTTATCGGTATAAAAGACACCTGTCCACAACCTCAAACAGTCACACTCCAAACTCCACAATGGTGAAGACCAAAGAGTTGTCGAAGGACATCAGAAACAAAATTGTAGACTTGCACCAGGCTGGGAAGACTGAATCTGCAATAGGCAAGCAGCTTGGTGTGAAGAAATCAACTGTGGGAGCAATAATTAGAAAATGGAAGACATACAAGACCACTGATAATCTCCCTCGATCTGGGGCTCCATGCAAGATCTCAACCCGTGGGGTCAACATGATCACAAGAATGGTGAGCAAAAATCCCAGAATCACGCAGGGGGACCTAGTGAATGACCTGCAGAGAGCTGGGACCAACGTAACCATCAGTAACACACTACGCTGCCAGGGACTCAGATCCTGCAGTGTCAGACGTGTCCCCCTGCTTAAGCCAGTACCGTATTTTCCGGCGTATAAGACGACTTTCTAAACCTTGAAAATCTTCTCAAAAGTCGGGGGTCATCTTATATGCCGGAATATACGGGTAGCTGTTCTCTGAATTTAAAACCAATCTGCCCCCTAGTGGCCAGCCCTATTTTTTTTTTACAGAAATAAACACTAACAGGACAAAGCATACAAAAATCCCATTTTTCTACATCACCCATCGCTTTATTCTTTTTCAGGAAAAGCAATTAAATAGTAGAAAACAGTAAGCTATATAAATTAAGGACATTACATCTACAAAAAAAGAAACATTCGATTTACTTCTTATACCTATAGCAGCAGTCATGAATATATGGAAAAACTTTTTGATTCAGCAAATCACATTGATTAAGAAAGATACTGGTCAAAGGAAAAAGATCAAAGTGAAAATTAAGAAAATATATGATGGGATCTACCAGAGAGAATATTTAAAAAAGAAACATTTGTTTGAATATGGTTAAAGAAACAGAAAAGATTCTGAATACATATGTCATTCTAAGAGAGATGAATTCCTTAAATAATACTGTATGCTTCCCCCCCTTTTATTTTATTTCTTGATATAAGTAATATAATACTGCTGAAATGGCCTAGATGAAGGAAATGTTTTAGATAATTAAATGTGTCTGAATTTAGGGAAATTATAATGTATAAAAAAGAAAAAAAATGTTTTGAATAAGACCTAAAGGATTAGATGACTAGACACATTAAATGGAATATTTAAAGATTAAATATATTTTATCAAAATAATAAGAACTATATTATTTCAAGGTTTGCAAAGAAGGCATTTTGGGGAAAAGGGGAAATCAACTAAATGTACTATGTGGATTATAGATTATAGAAACCAATTGTTAATGATTTTTCTTTACAAATGTAAACCCAGCAAACACACTGTTTACCAACTATTAAGTGATTTATGTTTTAAAAAATCAATAAAATATATGGGGAAAAAAATACCAGCTGAGTTCAGGAAGCATTAGGGAAGCAGTGGTGGGCAACACTCGCTTTCTAGCAGCAAAGGAATGGAGCTCCTATTGTGCTATTGTGAACAGAAATTCAATATTGTACCGTATTTTCCAGCGTATAAGACGACTTTCTAAACCCTGAAAATCTTCTCAAAAATTGGGGGTCATCTTATATGCCCAGTCGTCTTATACGCCAGAATATACGGTACATGTCCGGGCCCATCTGAGTTTGCTAGAGAGCATTTGGATGATCCAGAAGAGGATTGGGAGAATGTCCTATGGTCAGATGAAAGTAGAACTGTTTGGTAGAAACACAACTCGTCGTGTTTGGAGGAGAGAGAATGTTGAGTTGCATCCAAAGAACACCATACCTACTGTGAAGCATGGGGGTGGCAACATCATGCTTTGGGGCTGTTTCTCTGCAAAGGGACCAGGACAACTGATCCGTGTACAGGAAAGAATGAATGGGGCCATGTATCGTGAGATTTTGAGTGCAAACCTCCTTCTATCAGCAAGGGCATTGAAGATGAAATGTGGCTGGGTCTTTCAGCATGACAATGATCCCAAACACACTGCCCGGGAAATAAAGGAGTGGCTTCGTAAGAAGCATTTCAAGGTCCTGGAGTGGCCTAGCCAGTCTCTAGGTCTCAACCCCATAGAAAACCTTTGGAGGGAGTTGAAAGTCCGTGTTGTCCAGCGACAGCCCCAAAACATCACTGCTCTAGAGGAGATCTGCATGGAGGAATGGGCCAACATACCAGCAACAGTGTGTGCCAACCTTGTGAAGACTTACAGAAAACATTTGACCTCTGTCATTGCCAACAAGGATATATAGCAAAGTATTGAGATGAACTTTTGATATTGACCAAATACTTATTTTCCACCATAATTTGCAAATAAATTCTTTCCAAATCAGACAATGTGATTGTCTGGATTTGTTTTCTCATTTTGTCTCTCATAGTTGAGCTCTACCTATGATGACAATTACAGGCCTCTCTCATCTTTTTAAGTGAGAGAACTTGCACAATTGGTAGCTGACTAAATACTTTTTTGCCCCACTGTAAGTATTGGATTATTGGCTTGGTCTACAGAATTTAAAGCACACTAACCTGGGTCACACAATATCTTCTAAGAATTGACCTTCTCTCTTTTACTTCACTCCAAGTCACTTCTTTTGATTCCTGGGAACTTCAGCATGTCAAATATATGCCTATATGAGCAGTGATGCTAGATTTGGGCCATCAGACATCAGTCCAGACCTCTCAGATTCAGGGCCATACTTATAATAATAACAGTAGCAAATGTCCTGTGTTGTACTCATTGGCATTCATAACAAGGCATTACTATTTCAAAAACAAAACATAGGTGTCATGACATTATCTTGGAAATGGCACAATTGTATAATTACATAATGACAGTGGACACATGTACTCAAGTCACATCATTTGCCCCCCTTGGCCCCCAACAGATATCCATGTTTGTTCCTTCCCCTAGACACTCTCTGAAGAAATGAAGGTGCTGTATAGCTTCATCCCTACTATGATCTCCACTTTTTAGAAAAAGAAAGAAAGAAGATTGTGCCACTATCCAGCAAATCAGGATGGGAGGAAAGAGGGAGAAGCAGAATGAGCAGGAGGGGAGAGAAGGAGAAATAGTAACAGGAGTAGGGATTGACAGAGGGAAAAATGGAAGGGTGGAGTGCCCCAAAGGATATGTGAAGAAGACACCTAATCCAGAACCCCATTACCACCACCCCCTGGCTTTCCAACCACATCTACATATCTGTGCCTGACCCTTTCTTTTAGCTAGAAGAGAAAGTGAACAATTTTTATTTTATCCCTCTTCATCTAGAAACATGTAATGATACTTTGGTCAGGTTCAATATTTTCCCAAGTAACTCTTCTTGAAGAAATTCATAATGACATTATGCATAGGCTTAGTTTAAGTAACTGTTGGACTATATAAGGTCCATGTTAGAATTGATGCACATAATGTCAGCAAATTAGCAGGCAAAAGATACCAACCTAGCAGATAATGAAATGTCCAGTTATTCATCCCCACTCCAGTGAAAAAGTATTACTACTTACTTGTCTATAAATAAATGATCTTGGAGAATTCTTAAACCTTTCCTTTCCTCTCCCTCTCCCTCTCCCTCTTCCCTCTCCTTGATTCCTTTAATCATATATTGTCATTACATGTATTGGACTATTCTGATTTTTTTTAAAAAAATATCAGTTGCATTATAAATATTTTAAATTTAAGCTGAATTGAGTAATCTACAGTTTTTCCATTGACAAGAATGATTATTAAAAACCACAGCATTTCCTTGGGGACTTGTTTCCCAGGCCTCAGTTTACAACTTTTTCAGATTGACTAAACATTCTATTTTAAACTTTTTTTTTCAAAATAAAACAATGAATTTAAAAAGGAATCTCTGAAACTAAACTGTGCCGTACAAATCACTGGGATAATTTTTCTGTCCTTTTTCTTCCTACTTGCTCAGAACCTATTTTTAGCATACTTCTTTGCAAAAAAACAGAACAACAGGAAATGCCTTAAATAATAAATGTATACATTCATTATTAAGGAATCGATCCTGTCAAAATCAGAATATGTTTAGGGATATAGATCCAATCAGTATGAATGTAACTGAGGGTCTAGATTTGGGAAATATGATCATCCAAATGATGAGGATAAATGTTTGAATAGGACTAAAATAAAAGAAATTATACCCCAATTAGATGGGTTAGCAGACAAACGCTTCCTCTCCTATTTCAGTTGAATGATTTATCATATATTTCTCACATCACTGGATGCCCTGAAACATATAAAATAAGTAGTAAAATGTGGGAACATTCTTTAGTTGACCTATATCTTTGTCTTGAATTCCTGAAGCCACTGTTCTCTTTATTATAGTATAAGTCTCCAGCTATTAAAGAGGGACCTAAAACTAAGACTTAGGTGCATTCTACAATGGAATCTGCCAGCATTCCTCATGAAATAAACATTTTTGGTTGCTGTCAGTCTAGGGAGTCTGTTTTAGAGATTTAGATAACATACTTAACAAAACATCAGAGAAAAGGTAAGCAGTGGTTTATATTGTGTTTTCAATACATATAGAAAGACTGCCTTCTGCTAGTAAACTAGAACTAAACTCTAAGACATTAGCTTGCTGCCAAGAAATTGCCTCATATAGTTTTCCTACAGAAACTTAAAGATAGAAATGATATCTTGTGTATAAAGTGATTTTGGGTGTTAGAGAATCGACAAACTTATTTTAACCTCAATTTTCTTAAAACATTTCTTTGATTATCAAAGGAAAATCATGAATAAGAACCGTGACATTGAAATATATACTCAGAGCAAATCTTGCCAAGTTTTAACTATTCAGGATTTTTTCTCCTAGAGCATTTTTGTCTATGACAGTTGCTGTTATTATTCTGTTGTTTTAGAGTTAGGATAAAAAGATAGGATTATTTTTTTTTAAATAAAGTGGCCTGAACTAGTTCAGAAATTTCTTGAATATCTTTGAACAATTATTACCAAGTTTGTTGAGATAATAAAATACCGTATTTTCCCAAAAGTAAGTTCTACCCCCAAAATAAGCCCTAGCTTGATTTTTGGGCATGGGCCTAATATAAGTCCTACCCCAAAAATAAGCTCTAGTTTTGGGATGAGGCACACACCTAAAAATCAAGCTAGGGCGGAGGTGGGGGGCAGAGCTGCCTCACGTTCCCCGCACACACTTACCTTGCAGCCAGGCCTCTCCTTGCCGGCCCACTTCTTCTGCAGCATCCCCAGGCCTGCATTTCACAGTCAGAGACCTTTCCGGAAGGCCAATGCAGCCGAGAACCGAGCTATGGATTGAATCTATAGCTCGGTTCTCAGCTGCAGAGATCTTCTGGAAAGGCCTTTGACTGTGAAATGCAAGCCAGAGCTCCATTCTGAAGCTGCTCCTTCAGAATGAAGCTGCTCTTTCAGCTGCAGAAAAAGTGGGCTGGCTGGCTGGGGCTGTTGGTGCTGGAGGTGAGTGAAAGACACCCCCATAAAATAGGACCTGGTGCCTCTTTTGGAGGAAAAAAAAATAAGATTGAGTCTTATTTTCAAGGAAACACAGTATGTGGCTGTACTGTACTCCTTAGAGGAAAATGTATACTTAAATATCATGTTAATACTGTATGGCAAGTTTACACTCTGGTTACCTAGTAGTCAGTAGGCAGAGGGCTTATTTTGGAAAGTTGGACACAAATATTCTTTGTCTCATGATTTTGATGTAGTTCCAGATGCCAAATTGTTAACTATATGACAAAGAGGCAGGAAAAATAGACAGTTATTGTCCATCTTTCTAGTGTAGCCTATGTAAGTTACAGATATTACTATTTCATTTATTCTTTTAGCTCTTAAAATGTCTATGCAGTGTCTCCAAGTATTGTAAAAGGCATTGCTTCCAACAAAAAGGGGTATCCAATGAAATTAAACCTCTTTGGCTCCTCATGAAATGTCTCTCTACATAAAGAACACACAGTGATATTCTGAACCATTCCATGTTATTGCTGCTACTGCTACTGTGCCAACGCAGGAAAGATATGAGCTGGGTTTTGATCCCCATTTTGTGGTAGCTTGGGAATAAAGTATCTGTAAATTGGTAGGAGTACACTTCCAACGAGCTGATGGATTCCTGGCTGCCCTTCAGTTTTGACACTAAGACTACTCGATAGCTGACACTGTGAGATTTGCCAAGTGTACCAAAATCAAGCGTTCACATTAATACAGATGAAAATAAGTATTTATAAGACAGAGTCTTTCAAAACACTGTGTGTGGCATTCTAAAAAAGGCTATCCACTGAAGTGTTGAAAAATATGTCACTTTTAGGAACCATACTGTTAGGCATCCTTGAAAAGCAGCTCTGAAAACCGACAGTATTGGTATCTTCCAAATCAACACTGTTTGCTATTTGAGGCAGTCTTACCAGGCTAGGTTTGCAAACAACAGTCCAGTTCAGGCATTTACCAAGAGTCAGTTATTTCATTATCTCATTTGAGTGTGTGATAGAGAAAACAATATACTCTAAATCTCTCTGTTTTGTCCACAATGTAGTGCAAGGGAAGAACAGCCTATGTAGAAGGTGATGATACACCCTGAACCACAGATTGTATGATTCTTCTACCTCAAAAAAAGGCACTGTGCAAATCTGGCTTTTGTATACATGTGTTGGGATGTACCCTTACCTCATATATTATTATTTCTGTTGAAGAATATAATATAAAGCCAATGGAAATTTTAGCATCAGCCACTGAAAATTCACAGTAAGGTTCACAAAAGATTACCTGAGTATAGCAGAGAGCAAGCTAAAATATGGATTCTACTTAATTAGCTTTCTAAGGAACCAGCCCCATCCGTCGCCATCTCTCATTAATTTTTGAATGCTGAATTTGCTTGTTTTTCTCTCTTTTCATCCCTGTTTCCTCCCACCCTCTTTTTTTTCCTCTCAAAGACTTGTTTATGGTTGTTAACCAGCAAAAAGAAAAACAATATACAAATATATGAAGCTGAATCAACAATTTCAATATAGTTAGGAGAAATTCACACAAAGAATTTTGACTAAAAACAATATTAAAAACCGAGTGCTGTAATATGCTGCAAAAGAGATAAGAGATTAAGATTAAAAACCAGTGTAGTATGAATTATAAAATGGAACCATAAAATTTGATAAATAAAGCAATGAAATCATGCAGATAGGATTTGAGGATTCTAAACTTCACTTATAATTCCCTGTCCAAGGCAAAAAGAATAGAATAACTGAGATGGCAGGTATACCCCAACAGATAAAACTACAATGGGTCACTAAGTAGCTAAGAGTTAATGGTTAAGACTTGGCCATTTCTGACTCTCCAGGTTCAGTTGCTCTTTTCTTTGCCTGATTTTGCCTTCTGCCATGCAAAGCCTGGCAACTCTTTTTTTCCTATGTCTTGAATTGTAATCCTTCAAACAAAGATCGTTATTATGGGTCTTCTGAAAGCTGTTCTTGTAACCATTTGGGCCCAAGGATGTGATTTTTAAAGCATCTTTTAAACACACAATACTTTCATAATTTCCAAGCTCTCACAGTTTATTGTCTCTCATTCATAATGATCCAACTTCATATTTGATTAAAACTAAACCATTATTACTCAATGCAGTTTGGGATTGTTTATGAAAGTATTCAAAAGGAGCACATGAGAAAAAAAATAAAATTATTGCTATCATTTCTTACGAAATCCTTTCATTGGAAACATTTGTATCACACCTGGCTCCTGAAGGTGGCTTTCAGAAGATTGCTAGGGATGGGATTTATTTCCTAGGTTTCCTACTGCCCTACTGCTTGTGTTATTTGAGTAGGATTTTTTTTAAAAAAAATAATTTTCTATCTATGATGACAATCTGCTCTATTTATAAAAGTATACTTAGCCTGTAAATCTGCATCTGGTAGTTGTTTCATGCCGGCAGCCATCTTGTCTTTCTGGGGCAAAAGTTCATTGAGCTTATTGCTGATCTTCCTTGGGTAATCCCTGCTCATATTTTCAAGCATTTATGCCACTGTCATAACAAATGGGGAGAAAGGGGAGGAGAGTGGTGAAGGAAAGAGAAGAGGAGAGGAAGAAGAGGGAAGTAGGGAAGAGAAGAAAAGGAGAAAGAAGGTAGAGAAGAAGGAATGTGGATACAGTGAAAGGGGAAATGGGTGAGCAACACCAAAAGTCATGTGTATGTATTTATTTCATTTTATTAAAAGTATCTTATATATGAATGTAAAAAGAATGTATGTTAATATCAGATAAATATCATGGTATATATATGGGGAGAGTTTGGAAAAATAAAAAATAATTATGAAAAAAAAACATTGAAGGGTGGGAAAGGATTTCCCAGATCTTGTCTAACATGCCTACAATCAGCTTCTCTTAATAAAGATCCCTGTTGGAAGAGAAAAAAAAAGAAAAGAAAACCAAAAATCGTATAAATACACAATCTTATCTTTTGCTAAGCTCTTTAGTTAGGGAGCAAAGAACTTAACCTCCTTTCCATCTAGTGAAAGAAAATCAGTGTAACATTTTTTTTGTGCATCCTTAAATTAGCTTGGTCCTTCAAATGTATGAGATAAGACAATTATTATCAGCTTTACTCATCCCAATAGATCCCATCCAGCCCGCCAGAGAGCTAATATCTAATATCTAATCTCACTGTTTTTCTTACTTGCTAATACCTGAAGTCAGCTGTTCCTTCTCAATATCCAAAAGCATACTGAACTAAAAAAAAAGTTTACTTTCTGAAAATGCTAGGGAAATATTTGCATGAAGTTAAATAACAGAATTGTTCTGTACAACAGTGTCATTACTGAAGATAAACCTGCCATCTAAAAGTGTCAGTAAAAAACAACATCATACAATGTCACTAGAGAGAAATACAGTAAGGAATTCTTTGCATATAAAATAGGAGGTGCAGATTTTAAAGAATACTGCAGTCTTTGGAAGTAAATTAAGGATCACGCTATCAAACAAACACTGACATTCTATAGATACTTATTTAGAAGTGAAGCCCACTGAGTTCAGCGGGGATAATGAAAGGAAAATGGGCCTAGGACTGTAACTGCAAGCTTTGTGCAGCTTAATGTTGTCCTAAACTGACTTTGAACACAAATACAAACTTGGCTTTTTTGTTAGCAAAGAAATCTCTTTAAAAGGAGTGATTTGGAGCCAGATGTGTGTGTGTGTATACATACTCATGTGAGAGTGGGTCTGTATGTGTGTGGATTGGCAAATACTTTCCCAAGCATAATCTGATTTACATTATTACTAATTTGCATAATGTACATATAGGACTGCCCAGATTGAGAGAATTAAAATAAGCTAACCATATCCCTATGTCTTCTTACTTGGTTCTCAGGAGATGGAAATGCCTTGTGATGTTTGAACTTGGTTGAAATTAGATTCTACCACCCAATGGAAAAAACATCTTCAAACCACTGTGGGCGTCTATAGTTTCAGACAGATTTTGGGAGCTCAAATTTCTTCAGATTTTGCGCATGGGAAGATTGCTGTGGGCCTGCCCTGTGCCAAAGCTCTCCAGGCAAAGTGTCCATTCCATTACTCCTGCAGGTATTTGTGCTAGTAAAGAACGAACCACTAATTCTTCCTTTATCAACACTTATCAATAACTTGGTTGTTAACACTTGCAAGGAGGAATGAATAATGGGTGGACTAATGGGGCAGATACAGAGATTTAATATATGAAGATGTGTTTTGTGCTTTTCTGCCCCTAAGATGGCATGTTCTTCTAAGCTGCTACCTGTGCCAAGTACAATCATCCTGCAATGAGACTGAGCAAATGCCAGAGTAAGACAGGCCATGTGGCTTTCTGATATTGGCTGAATGCCATCCAGAAATTATCAAGTTCTGAAAATCTTGGGCAGCTAATTAAAAGGGACCACTCTGTAAGAGCTGCTTGGCTCAGGACAGAAGCTCAATTGTGTGTTGCATCATTCTGGCTGGTCAGACTTAACCCCAACTTGGCCCTTCACTGTAGTGTATAAAATGCTGTTTTGAAGAGAGAAGCAGAGGAGACTGAAAACCCCATTTCTAGCAATGCAGCTAAGTTTTCATCCTCTATACAGTATAACGAAGTCATAAGTTACAGAAAGAGCTATTCTTGAACTTTTATCATAGGAGACATTTTACACTGCTGTGTTTTGCATGTAAACTTCGCCTTTCCTCTTGTCAGTTTAATTATTTTTTCTTTTCAGTTTCAGGTTTTACCCACAGTGCTGTTTTGACTTGGTTTTTTTTGTGATTATTTGTGGATATGCTAGATAGGTATATTTCTCTCACTGAATTATGTTTTGAAATCAGCATGTAAAAAGTTATGATGAGGAAGAGCAAGAGGCAAAATGAAGCTCCTCTTTATTTTGAGGATACTTTTGGAGACATAATATTTCTCTGTGTTGGAGCCTTGGCAGTCACTGTTTCCTTCTCATGTTCCCCTTACTGCAACATGAACTGATGTAACATTTTTAGGCCATGTGCTCATGACATGTACTTCATACCTAGACCACAATGGGAGCAGCTGAAAGTCATATTCAACAGTTTTAAACTATCGTTTTTCCTCAACTTTGCTGTATCTGACCGAGCTATATGCTTGCTGATGCGGTCAGAGATGGGCTCTATACATCTACTGTAATGTGAATAAGTCCCCCTGATACTGGGACTTGCCCTGTAAGGTTGTTCCTTCTTGGAACTCAGAAGAAATCAGCAGCATCTCTCTATTGCTTTCTTTGTTTTCTACCTCTGCAATGCCTGATTGCTCTTTTGCAGAGCACATATCAATCCTAATCAAGTACTCTTATAAAAACAATTTTAATCACTTCTTTGAAATAGACATATGTGGGGTTTTTTTGCAGCAAGGATTTAATAGGTCCTAAAGGTGTTTAAATGTTGGGTTCATGGTGCATTTTGAATTTAATTGTTATTTGCAGACATTCAATTACCAAGCTAGGTAACATCACCATTGCAGGGGAGAGTGGAATTTGCTTGCCACTGATATAGTAGTGGCTTGATAGGGTGTGACTTCCTCCTTGATTAGAGTTTAATTTCTTCCCTTATTGGTTGTTTGATGCCGTTTTCTGCCTGTTTGGGTATGGGCTGCTGGAGGTGATGTGTCCTAAGCCATGTGTTTCCTTCCTAGGCTTTTGATTGTAACTTTTACATGTTATTTATATGCAGTTTACCTCTATGTGTCCATTAATGGCTGATTTGTCTGAATACTGACTTCAAGGAATTTATTAGCATTTTTGGATTTGTCTTGATCTAAAAGGTTAACAATTTCCCAATTGAAATTGTCAAAATGAATGACAAAACCACAAACTTGCGTTTTTGTCATGCATTTTGACAAAATGCCACTTGGAATTTATGGATGCAATCTGATAGTCTTCTGCCAATCTGCCCTACATGATAGCTGTTATAGTTCTTATACGAATTGTATCTTCATTTTCTCTTTTTTGCCTAAAATGCTTTGGAGGGATTTTGTTGATTTACATGCTACAGTGATGCCATATAATTCTAGTTGTCTGTTGGTTATCTTGTAACTATTTTTGTTGTACACAAGCATTATCTTTCCATGGCTTATAAGGGTTGTGTTGCAGTGATTATGTGATCAGCCATTTTTATCAAAGTTTTTGTGGGTATTTGTTCCATTGGAAGATCTTATATAAGTTGCTTAATTTGAATAAATCAAGCAAGTATGCAGTACTATTTCAGATCAGAATCTAAATGTAGGGGATGCTGGTTAAATATAAGAACCTGGACTTAGAAACTGATGGACATCAAATAATAAATTAACAAAGATTTTTTTTTTCTTAGAACTAAAGTATTTATGGATATTAAATTGTGAGAACTGGAAAAACTAGCCCAGAATTTTAACAGTATTGCAAACAACACTAATGAAACTGAAGATTATTAAACAAATATAATTGTTGAAGAACAGTATCAAATTATATTAACTTCTGGGAGAAAAAAAGGATGATGAAAGACATGAAAATGAGCAAAAGAATGATGAACATCAGCTCACTGGCATCTAGCATTGAAAGGAAAAATTTACCCTAAATTTACAGAAAAATACTATCTTTGCACTATTAAAGAAGTTTAAAAGCTTCATGACTATTTCAAAGAAAATTAAATATATGAGTGTAGTATGAATGAACTGTAGACAAAATCAGCAGTTTTGAACAGACCAGCATTTGTTTTCTAAAGCATTACTGAGAAAGAGTAAAAACAGATGCTCATCCTGATAAAGATGGAACATTAACATTTTGGACATCTGGAATGATCGAAAAGAACATAAAGATGCAAAATGAATACAAGATACTGGAAAAACAATGGCTTGGTCAAAAATGGATGATACAGCCATAACTTTAGAATTGATTTTAAAACAAGCAGAGAATTTAAAGAATGAACCACAAAAAGATGATGTACCTAAATTTTGGCTTACCATATTATCACTCCCCTTGAAAGAATGGCTAATCAATTTAATGAAATATAAAGTGGAAATGGTGAAGAATGGATGACAATTAAAAGTAGTAGAACAAACTGATTTTATATATGGTGACGGCAGCAAGATTGCTCTATGCATAAAAGCGGAAGGATGCCTCAATTTCCTACAAAAGCTGATGGAATTAGCAGGGATGGCTCAATTGACTGTGCTGATAAAAGAAAAGAACTTAAGTACTTTTGTTTCTACTTGGAAACCACTTCTGGACTTTGTGCTTGAGGTGAAAAAAAATGATATTATGATTTTGGGTTTTACCGATTAGACTGATTTGCTCATAACAGAAATGGCTAGTGCATATTACTATAGAATTAGATTAGATTAGATTAGATTAGATTAGGTTAGGTTAGATCCCACAGGCTGGGCCTGTGGGATCTAACCTAATCTAATCTAACCTAGATTAGGTTAGATCCCACAGGCTGGGCCTCCTTCAGGTCCCGTCGGCCAAGCAGTGCCATTTGGCAGGGCCGCGGAGGAGGGCTTTCTCTGTGATGGCACCCACATCTTGGAACCAGTTCCCCCCGGAGATTAGGACCGCTCCCACCCTGTTGGTTTTCCGTAAGCTGCTTAAGACCTGGCTTTTCCGGCAGACCTGGGGTTTATAAAATCTGACCCCTGAATGACTGTTATTGTACTGTTTGTTTTGTCATGTTTTATGGTGTTTTTATTGTCAGCCGCCCAGAGTCCTGTGGGAGTGGGGTGGTTTATAAATTTTAAAAATAAATAAATAAATAAATAAATAAATAAATGTAAAAAGTTGAGATTTGATTTTAATGTCTGATTTTACTGCAACAGTCGGAAGTCAATGCCTTTTGTTTCTTCCCCTCCCTTTCTTCACACCTTTTTTGTTTTTCCTTTTTCTACTATTGTCCCCTACTATTTGCTTTTGTATTTTCACATTTTATGTTATAATAATAATAATAATAATAATAATAATAATAATAATAGTAGTAGTAGTAGTAGTAGTAGTAGTAGTAGTAGTAGTAGTAGTAATATGTTTTGGGATTGCATCCAAGGCAGCCAGGCAGCGTAGACAAGACTCTGCCCTTACACCCCATTCTGCACAGTTGATGCTGCAGGGCACGGACAGAGGGTGTGACCGCCATAGCGCTGCTGGGCTGCCTGGGTGATCTGCAGCAGGCCCTGGAGGCAGTGAGTGGCCCTGCGGGCAAGCGGGACAAGGAAGGGGGATGGAGTGGGGGCAGGGCAGGGTGTGGAGCAGGGGTGGGGCCAGTTTTGGGGCATTCGGTCTCTAAAAGGTTCGCCATCACTGGGCTATAAAGTGAGCCTGCTTTGAGAAAAGGTCAATAACAGTCTAAATTACTGTATTTCAGGGAGTCTAAGATGAAGTCCATTGCATTTTCCTCCTATGGCTAGGATGGATTCACTACCTGTTGTAACAGCCCAGGGTGCTTCCCAGGTCTTTTTTCATAGCTGGACAGATTGCACAGCTCTTAACATAGCTTTCAATGTCCTTTTTCCTCTCTGGCCACCAGAATTGCCACATTACCAAGTGTAAAGTCTTTAAAAACCAAAGTAACCAGCTTGCTTGACATCATGGCTTCATTGCATGGCTTGGACCCTGATGGTGCTAGGAAGGTATAACTTGGAGCCTTTCCAGGCTAATTTATCTCTATATGTCAACACTTGTCTGTTATCTCTAAATCAGGGGTCAGGTTTCAGTTTGTCCTTAAGTTTCTAGGTCAAGTTGCTGTAGGGGCTGATGGATTGTTTTTGAGTTTGGTGTCTAGTAGTCACTTGAGAGGCCTTTTTTGGTGAAGGAATGATAGATTGACAACTTCCTTGTGATTGCTCTTGTACTGTGGCATTCTGGATAAGGCGTAAGCTAGGAAGTTCTTTCCTCCAGGAATGTACTTTAAAGAGAAGTTGAAACATTGTGCCCTGATTGGGAGATAATTTCTGCAGGGTTCTAAAGTGCCTCATGGTTTTTATGGTCAGTCCACATTTCAAATAGTATCTTACTGCCCTCTGGTTAGCAATGCTCATCAAACAGCAAATGCTTCCTTCTCCCATACAGCCCATCACCATTCTGTGTCAG